CCGCTCCGTCTGCCGCAGCTTCAGGATCTCGCTGTAGTTCAGCGCGTTCACTCTGGTCTTGAAGAGCTCCAGGGAGGTGGGTTTGAGGGACAGGGTCCTGGTGATCTGCTCCCGCACTACCTGCAGCACCTGAGGGGCCCAGGATGTCACTCCCAGTCCAGTGGCGCTTCCCAGAGCCCCTGAATTTGTGCGCAGCCCACGGCCTCCTGGGTAGCGCGCATCTCCTTCCAGGTCTTGTTCACCAGCTGGATGCAGATGCAGAAGAGCTCTTCAAAGAAATGATCCTGCCCGAAGAACATCGGGTAAAAGGCCTGAGCCGTCTCCGAGCCTGCGGTGGGAAAGACAGATCAGAGAATCATTGAATCTTCAGGTTGAAAAAGCCCATCAAGCCCAACCATTAACCCAGCACTGCCAAGCCCACCACTAACCACGTCCCTGAGCACCTCATCCTCACGTCTCAAATCCCTCCAGGGATGGTGACTCCACCGCCTGCCTGATGATGCCAGATTCCTCGTTTTTTCCAGGAGATTTTGGTGCCCAAGGGAACTTGGATACCTCCCAGCCCTACCTCCCCTTTCCCTGCTGTTGGCCATGCCAGCGCCAGGTGACCCCATGCACACAGCCCCCTGCCCCAGCAGCCTGTCCCCTGTCCCGGCAGCTTGTCCCCTCTCCCGCCCGCCCGCCAGTCGGTGGGTGGCAGGGAGAGGGACAAGCTAGGGCGCACACGTACACGGCTCTCCAACGTGCAGGATCTCACAGAGGATCAGGGTGAGCTGGATGCTGCTTCGAGCGAAGGGACACTCGTGTCTGTCTTCCCGGCTGCTGTTCTCGAGGACGAACTAGAGGAGAGGGTCATTGCCTTGTGTTACGCAAGCCGTGGACACACAGGATTGCCCCAGCTCAGACACCCCACGTTCCCGGTCTTCCTAGTCGAGCTGTCCCCCCAGGTTTAGCCATCCCTAACAGAAGCAGTTAGTCCTCCCCAAAAACCATCCCCTTCCCGAGCCTCAGGCACAGCAGGTCGAGCGGGGCTAATGCTCCGCAGCCACTCGCTGGTTTTGCCCAAATTGCTCCGGTTCGCTCAGATGTGAACAAGGCCTAAAGCCAAGCTGTGGGTAACCCACTAAAAATCATGGGGACCCTCCAGTGCCACCAGCCTCAAATGGGCTGCTCCTACGCACAGGGAGGACTTGGCTCCACCTGAAACAGGGCAACAGTGGGACAGCTGCCCCAAAGGGACACCCTCGCCCGGGGCCGGCCAAGGATGGGTCACGAGGAGAGGAAGAGAAGGTGGGGATCCACCAGCACCCCTCTGCCAGGTGGTTCTCCAGGGGAGAGCACGCACCCTGCTGTAGGCATTGGGGGTGTGCCTGGAGAAATACACCATGTTGTCAAGGGCGAGGAGTCCCGGGGGGGCTCGGTGGAGGTCCTCCGCTGGGTTGCTGTTGTTCTAGGACACAAAGGGATGCAATTTAGCAACCGCCGTTGGCTTCTCCGAGCAGCACAGCCCTCCTGACACAGCCGTGGGGTTTGCCTTTTGGGTCCCGGAAGGTGCCAGCGAGGCTGGGTGGCAGAGCCAGCGTGGGGCTGGGGAGGGGAGGCAGGGGGGCCGCACCACGAAGCCCAGCTTGCGGAACTCCTTGGCGCACAGGGATCGCCGGCGCTCGGTGTTGAAGCTGCTGGCAGGCGCCTCGCTCTCTGACTCAAAGGCGGTTTGGCGCAGCGACTGGAGGAGCTCCCGTTGTTCCTGGAGGGAGAGCAGGGAAAAGGTGATGCCTGTGAGCCCCAAGCGAGCAGGTTCTCCTAGGACAAACCGATGATGAAATCAAACGTGCTGGGTTCACCCAAACGCGAACCTTCTCTTCACAGGTGGAAGAGACCAGGACCAGACTCGCAAGGAGAGTGCTCCCAGACCTGTGAGTAGGGATCCATGAATGTCCTCATGCGACGCTCGAACAGGTTGAGGCTGACGGACTGCAGCACGTAGAGGTAGTGGGCCATCTCATCCCCCAGCGGCTCGGAGCTGTGGATGATGTTCTACAGGAGACCATGATTGGGAATCATAGAATCACAGAATGGTTGGGGCTGGAAGGGACCTTAAAGACCATCCAGTCCCACACCCCAGCCATGGGCAGGGACACCTTCCACTCAACCAGGTTGCTCCAAGCCTCATCCAGCCTGGCCTTGGACACTTCCAGGGATGGGGCATCCA